GAAGGAAGGAAGGAAGGAAGGAAGGAAGGAAGGAAGGAAGGAAGGAAGGAAGGACATATTGCTGGATTATATGAGTGCTTTTGCAGCAGAACAGCCCTAACTTCTGAAGTGCATTCAGCATCTTAATGTGCTAAATTCATTGACAATTGAGAAGAGGAACAACTGATGCACTGCTATGCAAGCCAGATGACCTCCGTGATTATAAAAATTAGGCGGGCAGCAAAGCAATAGTAATAAATTACCATAAAATATACAAGCTTGATGGAAAGCATATTGTAAATAGGGCTGCCCTTATAACGAGCGTGCTTGTTGCTTTGTGACAGAAGAGCGGGTTTGATTCTCCAGTATTTACTCTTCATTTTCCCCTCTGTCCTTAGGTTCAACTAATCCACTATAACCATGAGTTATATACAAATGTCACAGAAGCTGCAAAAAGTCCCAATGGCTTGGTGGTAGTTTCTATATTTATGAAAGTAAGTATAGTAACATTTCATAAATGTTGAATTACATTCTGTTGGGTGATTTTAAGAAAGTAAGAGCATTGGTGCATAAGTCCAGTAAGTCTAAATGCAGCCCTTTTCAGTCGATACTCCAGATGTGTTGGTATTACGACTTCCAGAATCCCCATCCAGCAAGGGAATTGTAATTCTGTGGGCTATTTACAGAAGTGTGGACAATGGGGAAGGCAACTTTAATGACTGCCTACATTAAAAAATGGCCGGTTGTTTGGGGATCGCACTGTCATACTTTAGGATGCAAAGAAGTCATCTCACTTTGGAGTGAGATACAAACATTATACAAATCCATTTCCATCTTCTTGAAAGCACATGAATATTTTAGATGATGATGATGATGATGATGATGATGATGATGATGATGATGATGATGATGCTCTTCTGCAGATGCTCAGAAAACATCTCTGGTCTTTTTAGAGCCTTTTCATTTATCCCATTCCCATGCTTTTCTGTTCCCTCCATGCTTTATGCTTCTAGAATGGATTGTGACCTAGATTTTTTTGCAGAAAGGAGAGGGCCACCACTCCCCAGTGAGCTATCCAATGTCCACTGTACTAAACAATTTACATACATTTAGGGTAAAGGCAGACATAATATTTGGAAAGCCTTTCTTTCTGCATGTTCCTTTCTATATCCTTGGATAAGTTCTGAAAAACTGGATTTGTACATTTTTGGTACACTTCACTTGGCGCTTGTACTAAACAATTTACATACATTTAGGGTAAAGGCAGACATAATATTTGGAAAGCCTTTCTTTCTGCATGTTCCTTTCTATATCCTTGGATAAGTTCTGAAAAACTGGATTTGTACATTTTTGGTACACTTCACTTGGCGCTGGAGGAAAAACTAGCTTTGGTGGGAACCTCCTCATTTGTACAGCATCTGCACATCACCAACACATCTTCAGCACTCAGAAATGCTGGAGCTGTCTTATAGCACCTTTCGGAATTTTAAAATAAAGTGAAATATAAATATCTAAACATGTGCATTTTTTAAAAAATCAATTAGAGAATAAAAATTGGGGTCACAGTCAAGAAAAGTATGAGACTCATTTTAAGAACTCTTTACATTTTGTGTGTTTTATTTTGAAATATTGTTTTTTAAAAATCCAATATTTTTATCTTTCTGCACATACAAAGATGTAACTGTAATTTCTTAAATGGATTTTCTTTTATGCTGCTTAGCATCCTTTCTTTACCTTAGGGATCAGCATATTATTTGCATTATACCAAGTATTTACTAAGGCGTTCTTGTCTAAAGGAAGTTCCTTCCTTAGTAACTGATTTTGAACTCTAAAAAGAATAAAAATGAGCATTCTTCCTATTTTATTTAATGGACAAAGGAGAGAATCCATGAGATTCTTCAGTAGAACTCCATTCCTGTGCCCATTTTGAGGATAGTCAGAGATATGAAGGAAGAAGTGGAAGCAGAACTTCAGCCTGGAAGCAGATGTATTCCAGTATCACCAGTCCTCAGAATATGTTGCCCAACACATACAGGGCTATCTCATATTTTCCAAACCAATGCAGAGCAGGTGGCAATCGGTTAAATTGTTTAATAGGGATGCATCTCAGGACAATCTTCTTCAAGAAGGCCTGTCACTCCATCGCAGTGAAGAGGAGAGTTGGAGCTGATCTGCATTACCAACAGTAGCCTCTGTACCTGCACTGCAGACACACGGAGCCTACCGTTGCCGAGTCCAATGGCACAGCTTCTGCACTCCACTGCTTAGGAGGTGCTTCAAAGGGTTTTTTTGTTCAAATCCCCATTTAAGGGTAACACCCTTCAAAGACATGAGTCTGGCCACCTTGTTGTGTCCAAAGAGCTTAATCTTTCCCCTCCAACTGCTTTTTTCACCAACTGGCCATTTTGCTTCTAGTTTGGGATCTAAGAAAGGTATTGTTGTGCCTGGCCAAAGAAGAGATATGGGGAGAGATGCATTATAAAAGTGATAGGTGAAGGAAAATCTAAGCCAATCCTCCCCTGAGCTGCTGTTTTTATTTATGAGAGGCAGCTAGAATTTCAGATCTAATAATGGAACCAAAAGGTAATTCAGCTCTCACATTGCAGCAGTTAGCTGAGATGTTTTTTAAAAATGTAACTGTGGAGAGAATAGAAGGATATGCACACGCTCTGACCCAGCAATGTTGACAGGCATGTTATGAACAAAGACAGTGCATTTGGCTGAAGGTGGTTGTTGCATTTTGCATGATCGCAAATCCTCACTGCACAAGAGGATCACTGATTGCAGTGACCACCGAACCACATTCCTTATTCAGGGCTGGGGGCAGCAGGGCTGGCATATATGTCTCCGTGCTCAAATCATGATTACGATTTTTAACTGATTGGATGGGGCTAAAAAAGATTGTTTTTTCACAACCTTTTCTTCAATCAGATTGTTTCTCAGCACTTAAAAGGATCCTGTATATCCAAGTGATGAGCTGATATGCTCAGGATAGGCAGAACGCTGAAAAACAAATCTGTATTTGCCTTTTTTATTTAACATCTCAGGAGGTTGTTTCTTTGATTTAGAAAAACTTTGTATCACACTGTGTTGTCGAAGGCTTTCACGGCCGGAATACGATGGCTGGTGTGGGCCTTCCAGGCTG